CTGCGTAAAACATGACCAATCCAATTAGTCTTCCGTTTTCTTATTTCGTGTAGGATATTCCTCTGCTCACTGACTCTAATTAACACTTCTTCATCTCTCACATAATCAGTCCAACTGATCTTCTCCATCCTTCTCCAACACCACATTTCGAAACTTTCCAGATGCTTCTGATCTACTGATCTAAGTGTCCATTTTTCAGCCCCATACAGAGCTATGCTCCAAATGTAGCATTTCACTAGTTTCTTCCTCAAATTTAAGTCCAATTTGCTGGTAAAAGATTCTTCTTCTTGCTAAATGCAGTTTTTGCCATGGCAATCCTGGATTTAATTTCACTAGTACACCTTCCAAAAAACATTCGCAGTTTCTCTTTTATTTCCATCTGTTTTTATCAGTGTATTGATAAACGAATTCCTCTAATGTTCCGCATTTGGCAGTAACGATCATATGTAATGCCTACGATTTCTGGACACTTAAATCCAGAGGCCTAGTCCTGTATCGTATCATTATCACACACATTCATTGCTCATATATATTTATTTGGATCTTCCAAAATGACTTTCATGGCCGATCAATTGAGAGAGACAGGTCCTAGTTCCTGCAAGCTGAAACATTCTATTTCTTCTGCCCCTTCCTGCCTCATTACAACCTTATTCTTATCTAATCATTGCGGAATCTGAGAGCTTATAGAGGAGTGGATTTTGAAACTGGTTGATGGACTCTGTCTCAATATGGCGTCGCTGCGCCACGCGACTGTAAAAGTGGCGATGGAAATGCAGACCAGATTAAATGATGAGATCGAGTTTCGCAGTCACTTCGAGCGGTTATGAAATTCAAAATGTTCAACATCATTAATCATAATTACAGTCCGCCCGTCGAAATGTTGCATCAATCATGGCCCTGGGGAAGTGGGGTTCCTTGCAACTGCGGCGTGACGACAATTGTAGTGTAAATACACGTGTTTCGTGCCGTGGCATATAAAATGGATCTGTTATTGTTGGTTTAACTCCACACAAATTGACCCGGGAGTTTGAGCCATGTTTCTCAACTGAGGACTCAGAATTTTTAAATGCCATTTTCAACATATTTAAAAAAAAATGTATGTTCACAAATTATATCCTTAAAATAATGTTTTACTGTAATATTATTCTTTGGGTGTGGAAAAAGAAAGTTGTGTAGTGTTTGAGCTTTAGTATGTTAACAGATGATGCAAGGTGTACTAGTGAAATTAAATCCAGGATTGCCATGGTAAAAGCTGCATTTAGCAAGAAGAAGAATCTTTTTACCAGCAAATTGGACTTAAATTTGAGGAAGAAACTAGTGAAATGCTACATTTGGAGCATAGCTCTGTATGGGGCTGAAACATGGACACTTAGGGCAGTAGATCAGAAACATCTGGAAAGTTTCGAAATGTGGTGTTGGAGAAGGATGGAGAAGATCAGTTGGACCGATTATGTGAGAAATGAAGAAGTGTTAATTAGAGTCAGTGAGCAGAGGAATATCCTACACGAAATAAGAAAACGGAAGGCTAATTGGATTGGTCATGTTTTACGCAGAAACTGCCTTCTAAAAGAAGTTATCGAAGGAAAGATAGATGGGCGGATAGAAGTGACAAGAAGACGAGGAAGAAGACGTAAGAAGATTCTAGATGACCTTGGGGACAGAAGAGGATACTGTCATTTGAAGGAGAAAGCTCTAGATCGAATTAAACGGAGGAATTGTTTTGGAAGAGACCGTGGACCTGTCGTCTGACAGATTACTGATGATGATGATGATGATGATGATGACCACACAAGAACTATGACAACGACAAATTTCTTATGTAGTTAACACCTGCAGATTTTATCTGATAAGTTTCCAGTAGATTCTGGCATAGGAAAGACGTTTGTTGTGTGCTTAGCTTAATTTTCCATCCTGGAGATAGAGGCAGTACGTTAATCTGAAACGCCAGTAAAACTTTGTGTTTAGTAGGAACCTGCTATCTCCCTCTTCAGGATAGAAGAGACCACCCGGAAGATTAAGAAACCAAGTCCCACCGAAATTACAGCATATAATTACCAAGTTACACCCGTCACATCCAACAAAACTATAATATGAATGCGCAAATTTGTGTTGCGCATTTCATGAACATATTCTTGCTTTCCGTCTTCCACAGTGGGACTTAAATGGGGAAACAAAAACAAAAAGCCGAAGAAAACACTAGTGGCAGGGACGGGATCCAACTGCAGGCTATGGGAACCCTAGCCAACGGCCGTGTTACTGCATCTGCACACCTCGCTTCTCCTTCAGTTGGATCAGCTGCACCAACAGAAACCCGAGAGGTGCCAATTTGGTTAGAAGTCCCTGGTGATCAGCTGCTTGTCGTCTTTGTCGTAAGATAATGTTGGAAATGCATATTATATAAAGGGAATTCGGGGCAAACTCGTATACCCGTAGTGAACGCTCGGATTTAGTTCTCGGAAAACAGAAACATCGAAACATTTTTTTTACGGATGTTACACTAACCATCATCTGTATTGCTCATCCTTACGAGCAAACGGAACCCACAGACTCTTCAAATTCATTTGCAACAGAGATATCTCCAACAATCAGGATGTGTGGTGTTGCTGTATTACATTCTTAAAAAAAACCAACAGAAGATCCATATCTCTCCAGCTTCTATTACTTTATATGATTTCAGGACCAAAAACTAGGCGGCACTAGTGTCGCTTTCACCTCTAGAGTTCACACGTCCTTCATGTTGCTATTGCATATTTTAGGAAATCAGATAGTACGACAATGGTCTAGCCTCCAGTATCGTAACTTTTCTGTTAAGTTTCGTGTAAATTTTTCGACTGGTCACATTGTTCCTCCTAAACGTCAGTTGACTTTCAAGGGACTACACGGCGTTATATCCCAGAAGATAGAAATCATCATAACCACCACTGTGATGATCTTAGATCCTGCATAATACATATACAAGTCAGATGTTGATATTTTCTCACTAAGACTGGTTTAAGTTGGCGATTTCGAAACTATTTTTATACAAATCAAAACGTTTGACGTAATTGAAATAGCGTGCTGATTTAGGCTGTTGGTGAAATTGAAATAGTGGGCTTGTCCGCAGTTTTCTGTCAATATATCTATCGATTCTTAAAAGTAATTGCCCTGAACGGTCTTATGAATAGCTGTGAGGAAAACGTAAGCTTTCTGTTCCAAGTCGGAATTCACTTTCTCTTTAAACTACCAAAAGTCTAAATAAAACGACATCATTAATTTTCCAATGAATTTATATCAAGACTCCTTATTATCCTTGCGAAACGAAACAAAAAGGCGTTTAGTTTTCACAAAATCGTCTTAAATAAATATAAATGTTGTAGTCAAATTTTGAATAACTAAATATTAATTAATGAATAATATCATAAAATTATTAATAGGCCTTAGAGAGATCAGGGTCAAATTTACATATTGTCTAAGATCTAAAAATTTGTGACAATGGTGCATTAGTACAACTATTATGTTTCTGGACATTATCCATCGTCTTGTCTTTGTCTAAAAGCCGTCCTGTTTATTTTTCAAAACACAGCGTTTCGGAGGCTGGATTCTGTCTCTGTTTTCAGGTAAGATCTACTCAGTTGGACGCCATCGATAGAGCTAGACCTTATCTCAAAACGTTGTAGTTTGTAATATAAACAGGACGGTGTTGTTGGATAAAGATATGATGATGGATAAAGTCCAGGAACATAATATTTGTACACATAATCTGTTCGATATCTGCAGTCAAGGAAGTCAGGTGCAACTATAGGACGGAGACTGGGAAATATCTGAAATGTATCTTTTCCTGTATGAAATATCTTTATTAACGACATCAGACCAATTTTGTACAGAAATGCACAACATTTTGAGATACCCGATATATTATTCACGGGTTCCTACATAACACGTAGTTGTAAAGTATGTTTGAGTATTTAAACATCTTAAGAAAACTGTAACAGCAGAATATATTACTATTTTAAGCAAAATTATATACAGAAAAACACATTTTATAATTATATTACCACTAATTTCGAAAGGTCTGTGTTTGTGTTAGATCAAATAATATTAGTAGGTTAGTGTCATGTGAAACTACCTCAACACTCTCTTTCTTCATGATTCATGTAAACACATACATAATATGCAGAATCGTTGATTGTTGCTGGAAGTTATGTGTTCTGTAAAGCAAGTTCATAGCCTTTAGCACAGATAATATTCTTGTATTTACTCTTATTCCGTAACATTAAACAAGAACACATATGAGTGCTGATTGCTTGTTTCTGAAGATTTCACCAATTCCTATAAATCTATTCTACGTAGTTAGGACATACTCGTTCTACAGTCAGGAGGCCACTTGTGTTTGTGTAAACTCTCTCTGGCTAACGGCTGTTCCACACTCACAGGCGTTATATGCACTCACAATTTTCAGAGTGGTAGGTGGTAGAGTAATTGGTTGAGGCATTATGTTACTAGCCGGAAGGTCGCGGGATTCTATTCCCAGATTAGGTCATTGGATATTTTAATAGACCTAATCCTTCCAGCCGCACTATGTGCCTGTAGTCGGTTCAGCCTCTGACAGAAATGAGTACCAGGAATCTTCCTGGGGGTAAAGAGCGGCCGGCGCTTGAGGCTGACATCCTCACTTCCATCCTTGAGTCGAAAAATAACAAATAATTGGCAACATTTATTCTTTAATATTTCTTAATGATCACGGTACAGATCCAGGAAGACTACTGTAAGATGAATAATGACACGATTTTTCTGAATTAATATTCTTTTCTAGGTAGTTAAGTGAGGATAAAATTTCAAATATTTTATTCATAATTATTCTATTTATAAATCTAATTTTGAACTTATTTAATAAATAATTTCTTCCTCTGTTAACGGCACATAATCACGTAGTTCATAGTGGTCTTCTTCTTCTTCTTCCTCTGCTTCGTGGCTCTTCCTCGCGTTCCTCTTAATCCTCCGATGCAATAAGTCTTTCTTCAGAATGCAGCTGCCTGTCTCGCAACGAGGACCAAGTCTTAGTGAATCTATGAGCACAGACACAGATGTATACAGCGAGACAGATGAATACAGGGACACAGATGCATACAGCGACGAAAATGACAGATATTGCAATTGAAAAAGACGGGCACCACCAGCTGTTACAGATCTCTTGTGGCCACGATACCCTTAGGTTCACAGTCGTGGTCTCAGTGACATCCGGCTTACAGACTTGAGGCAGTGTAGGAGTTTTACAGGAATCACAACAGAATGAGATCTGCCTGTCGGGGGGCCATGTATCCCAGGTCTTATTGACATGTTGACATTGTAAAGTCTCGTTGCGAAAAGCAACCAGCTTTCTCTGTATCCAGCACACCATGTCTTCAAACTTGTTGCCGCATTTCAACGGGTTGCCCTTCAAGATGATACTTTCCAGCTCATGGAGGAAATGTAGATAATCAGAATCCAGAACGATCAGCTGGTTCCTGCTAATGTCTAGGTTCCGTAGGTTTGGTAATGACGAAAATGTCACTGAAGATAGAGTTGATAATTTGCAGGACTGCAGGTCTAGTGACCTGAGGGAAGCTGGGCCATTCAGAAAGGGAGTGTTCGGGTCTATGTCCTGCAGAAAGTTATTTTGGAGAATGAGCTTCTCCAGCAAGTGATTATCAGCGAACAGATCGGGGGGAATTGATGTCAGGAGGTTGTTGGATAGATCTACAAACTTAAGATTCTTGAAACCGTTGAACACTTTCTCATCAATGGTGATTAGCTGGCAGTCTTGCAGATACACATCCTCTGCAGACTGGTATCCGAGTAGCGTCAGAGTGTTGAGAGGATTAAAGGATAAGTTCAGAACAGATATCAGGATATCATTATCTGTTATTGTTGGCACGCTAGATAGACTTTTGTCACCGCATTGTAGCTCAAGTGCATTGTCTCTCTGCCTGGGGAAACACATGCAACTTTTGGGGCAGGGCTGATGTTTTGGCGGCGCTGAAGGCACTTCCCTCTTTACTCCGAGTACGAATACTGAAGCTACAGCTACAACTACAGCTGTCACCATAATCTTCATGATCGTCTTCGCCTCTTGGAGGTTCGCCATAATAGTATGTGATTGTGCAGATTCTGAAACACGATTATTTTATNCCTTTCTCCGGGTATGAATACTGCAGCTACAGCTACAACTACAGCTGTCACCATAATCATCATGATCGTCTTCGCCTCTCGGAGGTTCGCCATAATATGTGAGCGTGCAGATTCTGAAACACGATTATTTTATATACAATTAGGTTGTTTTTATAAGGAAATTGAAAAATTGCACTCCGAATGCTCTGTCCTTTATGAATTTTGACACAAATATTTATACCATATCCACCTCATAGCCTCGATTTAGCACCTTCAGACTTCCATCTCTTTGGGCCTATGAAAAGTGGACTACGTGGGCAACATTTTCCAGACAACGATGCTGTCATTGCAGCTGTAAGAAAGTGGCTAGCCTCTGCTGGCGCAGACTTTTACGGTCGCGGCATGCAGGCTGTTGTTCATGGATGACAAAGGTGCATAACGAATGGTGGTGATTATGTGAAAAAGTAGCTGTAAGTAGCTGATGTCTTGCTCTATTTAACTGTGTTATTATGCTTTCTGTATCTGTTGTAGTTTTCATTTAAAAAATAGGAGGCATTATACACGGAACGCTCCTCGTACTTAGCCACGTAATCAAGACATTTCCTGTTTATCAATTTATATGGTCATGAAGGAACCTGCAGTTTGACCCTATCTTGAACACACCTAGTGCTGTTAAAGGTCAATTTACCCTGGGGTAAGACACTACTCTGTAAAGGGGTATAGGGATCGCTGTTGAAGAACTCCAAGCATTATACAGACCTGCGAACTTGGGCCGCTTAAACTCAGGAATGAACAGTATCCATTGACTAGAGGGATAGACAGAACAGAGCCACCATGAACACAGTTGCCAGTAGCTGTCTGTACTCATTTCGGCCCAAAGCCAGTCACTGACGGCAACCGCCCTGGCTCGCACTTCGGAATATTAGAACACTTAAATCATTCGGACTCGTGTATCATGGAAGTTGTTCCTAGTCCAGTCGATAATTCGACTATTTGACATGAGAGCCAGAGGTTCATTATCGGCCGGACAAGAGACCGTATTGGATCCAACATTATGTTTTATCCTATACAGAGCCATTTCGCTCAGTTCATATTCTTACAAGACAGTTCTCTAACATAATTTTAATGTCATCTCATTGTACCAAGTGGCCAACTTAGATTAGATTATAAACCACAATTTCTGTGTGCATGTCTTTTATAATCTACGTACCTGCTACAATATAGAACCCATCGTTGTCCCTTAGGCTGTAATTAATTACTCAGCTCTTTGTTATGTTTAAATGACGTGCTGCTTGCCGCTGGTATGTGTGGGCCCTTCCGGTCACATCTGCGATTCTAAAGTCTGAGTAGAGACATGACAACATTTCTATTCAGTAAGGCCGCGCCGTAGCTCAAGCGGTTAATCGCTGTCCATGGTATGTATGTATTGGCCGTCTTGTAGTGCACTCAATCTCACATGTCACTTCACTACATGTTTCGGCATCACTTTTGCGAGCCAAAAAAGGACACAACACAATACACAATATACACAAAATATAGGAAGAACGACTCCCATAGTAGAAGAATGATGTAGCACGCGAATTTGAGTTAAGACGTATAAGATGATGGATATTAACAAATTTTGATATATATAAATTATAAATTTTATTGTAGTTAGTGAAAAATGTGCATTTTAGATAATTTTATAAACGGCACATGATGGCGAGCAATGCAATAGCTTGACGTAAATAACACACCTGAGGATGGCACAGTGATGCCGAAACATGTAGTGAAGTGACATGTGAGATTGAGTGCACTACAAGACTGGCAATACATACACATCATGGACGAAAATCAGTGCAACAGGACGCTAAAATACAACATTATGGTTAATCGCTAGCTTCCCACAGCGGCGGCCCGGGTTCTATCCCAGGTATGGTCAAGTGGGATTTGTGGTGGACAAAGTGGCGCTGGGGCGGGTTTTCTCCGAGCACTTCAGTTTCCCCTGCTAATCTTCATTCCACCAAATTCTCCATCATAATAATCACCCGGGGCAGCCTACAATAGCCCAACCAGTGGCCGCCGTGCCGAGTGGACCCAGTTGGACTCCACCCCCAACTAAGCGAATTAAAAAAGAATTCCACTCAGTACGTACCTGCAGCTGGAAGGGTGCTTAAATAGCGACCAAGAAACGGAGGCAGAATTTTCAGTATATACACGTACTTATTGGCGCTGTGCGAAATAGAGGCCGTTTACTTTGGCACTGCTCACTAATACATGTAGAGGTATTCTATACTTATCCCATACAGCACTCGGTAACTTCACTAGAAGTTAACAAAGGAGCTGTAACAGAAACTATACCTAATGTGCAGAATAATTTATCACGTATGATTCTTATCCGATAAGGCTTATTGTCTCAGGACGTACGTAGGAGTGTTTGTAATCTTCCGATAGTCAAGAATGGGCCACCATTGAATAAATACCGCGTTCTGGGCCGCATCTTCAGCAGAGAATTTGGTAACTTATTGGGATGGAAAAAGAAACAAGAAGGGGGGGGGAAGGAAATTCGAGCAAATACAATGCAAATAGCAGATAACGCCTGAGGGAAACGTCCGCGCTGCATCGCGTAAGTTCCTAAGTTTGTTTCATTATAACACTAATCTTTAAGCTTCGGAGCTCATAACTTTCCTTAAAGACATACACTAACATTTTGATGAATACACTTTAATTCAATCAAATTTTGAATAATACATTTTAATTCAATCAAATTTTGATGAATACACTTTAATTCAATCAAATTTTCCTCTGTGTTTGTTTTCTTTGGTCGTAGGTTAAAGGGGTATCATTAACTGTATAAAATATCGGATTATTTGATGTTTCATTACTATTTGATATATTTATTTGTGTCCTATATTTTGAATATTTGCCTCAGCTAATATTGCTGATGTTGGAGCACCCACGGCTACTCAGTCTGTTTGTTTGTAATATTTTTTTTCGAGCTGAAAATAATTTTGTTCTATTACTGTTTTTAGTATGTATACTATTTCATTTTGGGTATTTCCGGTGAATCCTGAGTTGATTTTTAATTTATTTATAATTGTGCTCGCAGTGTTATGTTATGTTAGTGTACATGATTTCCATAGCAAATAAACATATTCTCTTATCTTTGTTAATCTCTGTGATTTTTATGTAGTTCTGCAATTAGGTGAATGGAATTGCGTATGTTGTATGTGTAGGGCATGCGCAGGTGGGTACGTAATATTTGCATTAATAGTTTCGCCAGTTCGTATGTGAATGAGCAATAAAGAATACGACCAGGATCTTCTGATAATATGTATTGTCCTTTTATAATAAATTACTAATACACCGCTGGTATTAATTCGATTAAAATCATTCTTCTGTTATTTAAATTTGTACTGCGTGGTTCACACTGCTGCAACGGACTACATAATGTGACTGAGTTGAATAGCCTGGAGGATTAGGCTACTATATTCAGTTTAGTGAACAAATGAAATAAAGTAAAATATTCATAACTTACTTACTTATGGAGCTGATCCCTTCTTGAAGAGAAGCCAAATCTGCAGCTACTCAAGAACTTCCCAGCATTTTATGGAACCCGAAGGTTCATTACCGTGTTCACCAGAGCCCTCCAGCGGTCCCTATCCGGAGCCAGATCAATCAAATCCATACCGTCCCATCCTATCTCTCTAAGAGCCATTTTAATATTGTCCACCCACCCACGCCCTAGTCTTCCCAGTGATCTCTTTCCTTCTGGCTTTTCCCACCAATATCCTATATGCATTCCTCGTCTCCCTCATTCGTGCTACATGCCCTGCGCACCCCATCATCCTTGACTTGATCATTCTAATTATACTTGGAGAAGAGTACAAGTTATGAAGCTCCTCATTATGCAGTTTTCTCCAACCTCCTGTCACTTCATCTCTCTTCGGTCCAAATAGTCTCCTCAACACCCTGTTCTGGAACACCCTCAGTATATGTTCCTCCCTTAATGTCAGAGACCAAGTTTCACACCCATACTGTCGCGCCATAGCTCAAGCGGTTAGTCGCTGGCTTCCCACCGCGGTGGTCCGGGTTCGATACCGGGTCTGGTCAAGTGGGATTTGCAGTGGACAAAATGGCACTGGGGCGGATTTTCTCCGCACTTCCATTTCCCCTGTCAATCTTCATTCCACCAAATTTTCCATCATCATAATCAACCAGGACAGGCTGAAATACGCCAATCAGTGGTCGCCGTGCCGAGTGGACCAAGTTGGACTNTCAGAGACCAGGTTTCACACCTATACAGAACCACAGGCAAAATTATAGTTTCATATATTCTAATTTTTTTTGTTTTTGGAGAGTAGACGAGAAGACAAAATGGTCTGGACTGAATGGTAGCAAGCATTACCCGAGGCCAATCTCCTCCTAATTTCCTCCTGAATAAGTTTTTGATTTGTTATCGTCGTTCCCAAATATCTGAACTGTGCCACATTTTCAAAATGTCTGTTTCTTATATTTATGGCATGATTTTGCCCTGCATTTTGGTGACGAGACAGCGACATATACTTAGTTTTCTCTGCGCTTACTTCTAGACCAACCTCCCTACTTGCGTCAATCAAAGTTTGTGTGTTTTTGCCTGTGGCTCTGTATGGGTGTGAAACTTTGTCTTTGACGTTAAGGGAGACTGATTTTAGACTGATTATATCATATACTGAGTTATTTGAACTCATTACAACTTGTCACAATCTGTTAAGATAATGTTCACTTTAATTCCTTTCTCCCATAAACTCCTCGATCTCCCAAGCAGTATAGTGTAGTGTATCTGGGGTCGGTTTCCAAGGAGAGCCACTGGGGCACTGTCTCCTTAGCCTCCACAAGGCAGAAATAGAATTCAAAGATTTTATTGAGGCATCTACCTACGAACTTACCACTCGGCGCTGCAGCCCTGGGTGAGCCTTGGCCTCCTCTGCAACCAGTCGCCACAACCAATGCATGCTGTCAAAGGAGTGGCATGAGAAATGGATACAAACTTTGGGCATGATACTCCATGGTTAGAAAGAGCCGCGGTAGCGTAGTCGGTATAGCGACTGGCTACGGGCTGGACGACTGAGAGGTCGGAATTCGAATCCCTGTAGGATCAAGAATTTTCAGTTCTCCATGTCGTCCAGACCAACTCTGGGGTCCACCCAACTTCCTATACAATGGGTACCGGTGGCTCTTTCCTGGGGGTGAAGCGGGAGGGGCGTGAAGCTGACCACTCACCTCCAAATTGTATCGAGGTCAAGAAAATGTGACTCTATACATCCACTCAACCACTCCCCCATACATCTTCATGGCGTAGTGCTTAATTAGTCAAGTACAGCGACAACTTTACCCTACTCCATGGATAGAGACCTGTTATAAACATTCATGGTCCTTAAATAAATGCATGGTAATAATCTGAAAAAAAAATCCCGAGCTGGGAGCTGTTATTGTCATTACACATTTCCAAGAATTCCTCTGTTGTTGCGAGTTTGTTTGTTGTTGTCGAGAAGTGCTTACTGCGCCGTTGGCTAGCAATTGCCGTATATATTCGTTAAAATATTCCGGATTTCAGCCGTCATGTCAGAATATTATAATTTTTGTTTAGTACTCTTGAAAGAGTACGGAAAATTTTCTAGACGATTGTTATAATAGCGCCCATTTTAAGTGCCTCTGGGGTTTTAGAAAATAAACGTCTTGAAAGCAGCATCAGTAACAGAAGAATCTGCAGAATCTGCCAGTAGCTCACTAGTCTGAAATATGAAATTATTTCTGACTTTAATATAGAAATAATCTTTTTTTTTAACGTTTACAGGTTATAACTAAGGATACTCCGAAGGAGCGATGTTCGGCATTCGAGTGTTGATGGGCATACTGCTACACAGCGCATGCTTCGTATCCGTCTATGCCGCCGGAGATGGACTCGCCACATGCCCGGCTGGCTGCAGATGCAATCCATTGAGGAGTTACATCAACAGCATCATTGTAGAATGCAGCTTTCTTAACTTGTCAGATATTCCTCAGTCACGCCCAGACTCTGTCCACACTTTAGACCTTTCATACAACGTAATAAGAACTTTGAGAAACGAGAGCTTCCCCAAGTACATAAGACTGTCAACTGTTATATTATCATACAACGAAATGGAGGACATTCAAGTGAATGCGTTTGCTGGACTTCAGATGATAAGGACCATAGACCTATCGTACAATAAATTGAAGTCAATTCATCCAGAAATATTTGCATCAAATCCGAAATTGGAATTCCTGTCTTTGAGTTCGAATCCACTAACGCATCTTCCTTCCAAATCTCCCATTCTTGTATCTGACTCAGTCATCAGTCTGGACCTCAGTTCTTGTTTTCTCACTGAAATTCATCCACTCACGTTCTCCCGCCTTCCTAGACTGTGCAACCTGGACCTTAGTTCCAACCTCCTCCAGACTGTTTCGGTGAGGTCTCTGGAAAATCTTCCAGATTTGAAAACAGTGCAACTGGCCAACAACCGCTGGAACTGCAACTGCGATGTTGTAGAGTTGATGCAGTGGACAAGCAAGAGAAGAAGACAAGGTCCAGCTCACAGGCCGGTCAAGTGTTTGGAAGGAGGAAAATACAGGACTTTATGGACAGCGGCAGGCGGAGGTAAATCCTGCAAGGAGTCTACAACTGCTGCTTCATTTGTAGCAACTGATATGGCAGCTTCACTTGCAGCAAGTGAATTTGTTATACCAGTTGTAGTTTCACTTGCTACAAGTGAGGATGATATGTCAGTTGTAGTTTCACTTGCTACAAGTGAAGTTGCTATATCAGCCTCACTTGTAGCAAGTGAAACTACAACTGACATATCATCCTCACTTGTAGCAAGTGAAACTACAAATGATAGATCAGCTTCACTTGTAGAAAGTGAAACTACAACTAATATAGCAGCTACACTAAGGAGACTTCCTTTCTCACAAAAAATTACACCATATTTATCATTGCACCTTGCAAAAGAAACGACAGTGACGGGTGGGGATGAACCCACAGTCACTCCAGAAATAGAAACGGGAGACTGGGATGGTCTCTTATCGTGGAACGCCAATACCATTCTGGTTTTCGTAATTCTCCCCTGTACGCTCTGTGTAGCAGTCTTCTTAGCCTTGATGGCTGTGAACTACTTCACCAGGAGATGGACGATACATCGTCCGCGGCATGCTATACAAGGCAAAGGTAATTGCCTCGAGAATTGTCGTTACTTTCACCCACAGCTGACGGCAGATACCATAAAACCACATGCAAGATACATCAACATAAATAACCAGAGAATTCCTTATGATACTTACCATATATATGAGGAAATCGACTAACGCTGTAGATATCGACGGTCTGCAACTGAAACATAAAAGATACACCGCTGCTCCCTACTCTCCTGACATGGTTCCTTGTGATTTGTCGCTGTTCCAGAGATTGAAGACACCGCTAAAAGGCTACCGTTTTGACAGCCGCCAGGACATCATACANTTCCTCAAAAAAAAAAAAAAAAAAAAAAAAAAAAAAAAAAAAAAAAAAAAAAAAAAAAAAAAAAAACCTTCCAAAATTTCTTCCAGCGATGGAAGGACCGCTGGGCTAAGTGTGTGGAGTCACAAGGGGCCTACTTTGAAGGGGATTAGGTATTGTAACCACCCAGATACAGAACTCTGTTTTCCCGGCCCAAGGTCGGATACTTTTTGGACAGAGTATTATGTGTATTATACTGTGGCATAGTTGCTCAGATCAAGAACTGTGGAGCCAGAGAAACAGCTGTTGCCGGCGAACGGCTCTGGAAACAACATTCGCTGCTAGGAAACATATTCTTTATAAGCAACAGTTAAACTACAACAATAGAGGAACTGAAAAAAAAGTATTTTTTTACGCCGTCCGTGCCGAGGATGGAACTGAACTTAGATCAGACTGGGATATGTGCCAGATGGTAAGGACGTAAGCGGATGACAGTGTTAAAATCCGTTACCAGGAAACAATTAGTGAGGAGGATAAATAGAAGACTTTATGTGTGCTGCAGTTAGGTGTCAGCTGAAAGTCACTCTGTGCAGAGGAGACTAGGTCAGTGTGAAATGGCCACCAGTGTGGGAGTTAGAGGACTGCAGTTCAGTCGTTTGGACCCTTTGCTGTTAGAAGCTGGTAGCTGAGGCATGGGATAGTTCGGGAGCCCAGAGTAAGGGGAACATACAACGTTGGAAGCCGTTATCAGGCATCAGTTAATGGAGACTGTTATAGACCGAGGATACTAGCTTGTGTGACAGTGATCTGCAAAGTGCAGTCAGGAGTCTTGAGTGTTAAAGCGGTCAATAAATCCCATATCCAATCCAGAACCCCATAGAGAGTGACTCATTATTATTATTATTTATTATTATTATTATTGGAGGGGGTGGGTTTCCCCATGCACCGCGACCAGTTGTTGATCTATTGTACGTCCCCCTTTGATATTCTTAAAAATTCGACTACTGCCGCCGGGTTTGAACCCGCGTACCTTGAGTCATGAGGTGGGAACCTTACCCCTAGACTACGGAGGCCGCTTAGAGAGTGACTCATACTGGTGACAATATTGCCAAGTGTTAGTGACTAATTATTTCATTTAATTTTGGGGCTATGAAGCACTTCTTAGCGTTTGTTAGCCTTGATTCGTGTTACAGGAAGAAGCATACATACTACTAGTTCTTTTTATTGTTTTAATCAGTGGGATGGGGTGAGACTGAGCCCACTTGTTACGTCGGACACTACTGGGGCTGTTGTACCAGCCCCAGATGGTAGATTAATATGAAGCATTCGGTGAAATGAAACGCGGCAGAGGAAACCGAAGTACTCAGAGGAAATCGACTCCAATGCTTTTTTTTTACTGACTCTGCAGCCCCCTTGGGCCATAGCCTCTGATTTTTAAGTTTCATGATCATTTTACAGACGGTAGGACACCTTTGACGAGAGATCAGCTCGTCGCAAGGCATCTACCTAAACGCAGACTAAACATGTACACATACCAAACATCCATGCCTTGTGTGGAATTCGACCCCACGATCTCGGCTTACTAGGGAGTGAAAACAGAACATGCCTTAGACCGCTCGGCTACCATGATCGGTCCAGTGTCACTTTGACCACCTCAAATTCCACTTGATCAGAACTGGGATCGAGCCCTGGCCGCGGCCGGTGGGCAGCCAGCGAATAACTGTCTGAGCTACGGTACGGTCCCGTCTTGTTTTTCTTTATCTGAAAAAGATATCTAAAAGAAGATTAACGAAAAGAGATGCATTGCTCTTTATCGTGCCCGGCCAGTTTCATAGTGGCGCAAACAGAAATCTGTACGGCGGTAGTGTGTGCAATCAATAGGACGAAGCGAACATACCGACTTACCGCGGGGGCCCTGTCCCAAGCCCCGCCTCACGAAGCTTCGTATCGACAAATTCATAGCCCCCTGGGAACTCCGCCACCTGCCACGCAGCACTACTACAGAAGGCCGATCTCCCACAAGTCGACTCCACCCCCGCACACAGTATGGTCACCTCTGCAGCTTCCCCGCACACTCATTTCCGTCGCGACGTTTTCCCTCATAAACACGGTACTGTAGGCTACGGTGTTGTTTTGTTGAAATTAACACTCTTATGAAGAAAGCAGTCTTCTGAGATGTGGCGCCGTGTAGATATTGTGTTAACCGACGTTTCGGAGGAACGTATCGCCTCCATCTTCAGGGTAGAAGAAAAAAGAAGAAACTCCGCGAGTGAGAAACCAGCGATGGCGCCGATGCGTTCCTCCGAAACGTCGGCTAACACAATATCTCCACGGCCCCACATCCCAGAAGACTGCGTTCTTCATAGTCACCGCCGTGAAAACCTCAGCTCTTGCTAATACTCTTATGATTAGTGAACAGTGGCTATTTCAATAACTATACGTATTCTTCCCTGATGATGATCATGTCTGCCCGAAACATGTCGCAGTAAATAAAGATCTAAGTGTAATACTGAAATATTTGTTGTGCTGAAGGTAGCATAGTGCCTACATATTACATATTCAGTAAATATGTTTAATTATTATGATTATTTTCACATTACGCATTGTAATATACTCATATATCGCATCCTTGTAAATGCATGTATTTTAATAGCTCACCTCTAAACGATTACTTATTATTGTTATTATCATTATTATTATTGCTATTATCATTATTTTGAATTTTGTTATTACACCTATTACATTATCATCATTACTCAGTTGTTATAAACTGTCTTATGTACTTTATGCCTGTCTTTCTTTTTTTCACTAGTGTTTACTTTGTAATTGGCTCTTGGACTTTTGATTTAGCACGCAAATAAACAATAATTGGATTGAATTGAACTGAATTATGCGATTTACTCCTTCAATTGTTATTTCCTGAATGAATTTTCCCCTCCCAATCTATTTTACATTTATACAAAATACTGGATAAAATTGTAGTTCTCTATATTTTCCTAAGTTCTGGAAGTACATTCTTTCTTAGCACAATTTAAAATATCACTTACACGTAGATTTGCTTCTTTCAAAACACTGTAGGCCTTCTTGCGACTTTGTATTCAGCCAATTTATTTCCTACTCTCAAACTTAAAATTATATTTTATATTTTCCTACGATTTTATTGAAATAAGAGTTCCTTTATCTTCATCACAATAAACTTTAAATTCATTCTGTTCTTTATCTTGCACCTTTATTCTTTCTCTCTCGTGAATTTGTTTAGTCAAGGTTTGACGATGCTTCCCTGCTGCTCGTAAATACATCTGAAGTCGGACGTTACGGAGGGCATAAATCAACTAAATCCGTTTAAATCAATGATACGGAGCTATTTCTTACTTCAGGTAGCGGTACTGTGCTTGTAGATTTTGCTGTACACGAACTGGATATGCATATGTAATATCGTTCGAAAGAACGACCATTCTTTTTTTTAATTCGCTTAATGGGGGGGTGGAGTCCAACTGGGTCCACTCGGCACGGCACCCACTGATTGGCCTATTGTAATNGTAGCTTGTCCCAGGTGATTATGATGATGGAGAATTTGGTGGAATGAAGATTGGCAGGGGAAACCGAAGTACTCGGAGAAAATCCGCCCAAGCGCCACTTTGTCCACCACGAATCCCACTTGACCAGACCCGGGATCGAACACGGGCCGCCGCGGTGGGAAGCCAGCGACTAACCGCTTGAGCTATGGCTCGGCCACTAGGTCATTCTTACTTATCCTTAAATGTTTATTGCCTACTGGAATTAATTCTCGTGTTTTTATCCGTGCCATTTACTCGACGTGTTTAGACAAACCTTATTCTGTTTATATTTCGGTGCAATATATCGACAAAATGTAATTATAAAAATGGATGTAATTAAAATGAATCTAAAAGAAATAAGGTGTAAGGTTGTGGACTGGATTCATGTGGCATATGTAGGATCCAGTGGAGGGTGTATGTGAATATGGCGACGAACTCTTCCCTTGCATACAAGGTTAAGAATTCCTTAACTTTGGCAACGTTTGATTTCCTATTGCAAATGTGGTTTGGGTGTAAATACGCGTCAGACATGTTGCCATTTTACTTATTATGATCACTGTAAGGACCTTAACAAATGTTTGATAGTACGGCTTGTGAGCAGAAGTCTGAGAAGGAGAGAGGACTGACAAGAAGCAATATCCCTCCGCCCTGTTCTCAACCCATTTTCCCTCCCGTATAACGAATGTGAGGCGTGTGGTATCATCCTCTTAATATAACTTACTTAGCCTCTGCATGTCTGTCTTCCAGCAGATTTTGGTAGAGGTGGCCAATTCTCGCGCAACTACAACACACATAAAGTCTTTTTTTTTTTTCGCAGACTTATTCCGTTGTGCACTTTTGTACTCCTTCAATTCTCATTCTCCTGACTTCTGATTGACTGCTCAAAGTTAAAGTCAAAGCCATATTGCGACTGACGGTCAGTCAGTTAGTCAGTAAGTCTTGGTGTCGAGTCCAATCTGGGGCTCATGACCAGATATTTATTAATGTTTGACAGTTACGGTCTTGTTTTTGTGGGGCGCCCTCTCTAACGAGAGGACGGGTCTGTCTTTTGTATATGCTGCTGACCCTTGCCAGCGCACTCTTTCTTGGGTGCGGCAGTCGCGGGCTGCCAAGGAGGGTGGATCTTCATCTCAGACTGGGCGAGCAGCACCATGTTATGAAATATCACACGGAAACTTGAACGTGACATATCCGTAGGAAGTAGAGCGTGAGGATATGTACTGGAATCGTGTTGCCCAGAGTAGAATCCTTTGGCATATCCTCATGTACGTTTCAGTTCCGAAAAGTTGTGGGATTTCTTGACTAGTTTGACT